TTCTTGTGTTGTGTGCCATAAAAAATGGTAAATTAAACTAATAGTTTCTATAGTTTGGGACTTGTGTCATTTTAGTCCATAACTTTTCAATTGTGACACATTTGACCTTGAATTTCGAATCTTGTTTCAAATAAAGACAATTGATCATACCATTACTTAATTTCAATGGCAAAATCGTCAATTTGATAAAATATAAACTAATTTGACAAAAATAAATGTCAAAAAAATATTTTAAAATTTTTAAAAATTATTTCTATTCACCAAAGATAAAATTATATAAAATTGATAAAAATTACATGATTAATTTTTAAAAATTAATTTTTCATGATCATCATCCAAATACATAATAAAAATTAATTTGGTAAAAAAAATGTCTAAAAGATTTATCAATTTTATATAATTTTATCTTTAGTAGGTATAAATAATTTTAAAAAATTCAAAAATAATTTTTTGACATTTATTTTTGTCAAATTAATTTATATTTTATCAAATTGATAAATTTACCCTTGAAAAATCTAATAGTATCTTCAATTGTCCTTATTTGGAACAAGATTCAAAATTCAGGGTTAAATGTGTCACAATTGAAAAGTCAGGGACCAAAGTGACACAAACCCCAAACTATAGGGACCATTGGTGTAATTCACCGAAAGTTTTATTACATTTACTACCCATAGAACCAAGGGACTCTATTCAGTGTAATATTTGATTGATCACGTATAAATTATTTGTTCTTGTATGTTACTATTTACTTTTCAAATTAATCCTATAATTCAGAAGAATATGTGATTCATATTCTTCTTTTATCAAGGATTCTACTAATTGAAATGTTTTGATATATAATTGATATTCAATTTCTTGATATGTACTTCAATTTTAGAAACTTATGATGGTATCTAATAGTATTTTGTTCATTGAAATGAAAATGGAATAGAATGATTAACTTTTCACTGTGGTTCACTAAAAAAAAAATTGGCAAAAAAATGTATTGTAAATGAAATCATCATTTACCATTGTGAGGGAATTCCATATGGAAAGGCTATAAACTGTCTATTCCATTCCATTCAACCATTTTTTTTCCCCAGTAAACCAATCACTAACATTTCGTTTTAAAAAAAAAGAAAAGAAATAAAAAACTACCAATTCGTTACAATTCCTAGTCAGAAAGCAAATTTCAAGGCACCATTCCAAGGAGAATGCCCAGTTTTGGTATACAATGGCAATGTGTTCTCCTCTTGAAAACCAGTCAATGTAATGGAAGAGCTTCCATATTCAACACTCCCCATATTGTTGTAAAATCTCCCTCCAAACTCATCAATGCCACCAGCCTCTGACTGCTTCTTCTCATTCTTATGTGTGACTCGTTGGTTTTTTTAGG